CCCCCCCCCCCCACTTATGTCTCAAGCCTGGGAAGCTGTTTTAAACCAGAGTGGATGAATTTCCTCCCTTTCCTCCCCCCTTCTGTCTCAAGCCTGGAACGCCATTTTAAACCAGAGTGGATGAATTCCCTCCCTCTGCTCCCCCCGTCTGGAGTAAAACAACTACTTTCAAAGTAAAGACCAGCCAATGAAACAGGAAATAACACTTTCAAACCATTAAGGAAGGATTAGGAAGTCTCGGAAGTTTCAAAAAGTGTTGAACATTTTTTTTCTGTGAAAATCGGAATTGACTTTAGAATCGAACCACCAACCTCCTACATCCAAAACGAGTTTTGAACCATTTTTGTAATCAAACAAGCCTAGTGTCAGGAGTGACTTGAGAAACTGCTAGTTGCTTCTGGTGTGAGAGAATTGGCTGTCTTTTCATCATTTAGCTTTTTGGGGGTTTTAAGTCCTTTCCACTATTTTTGGTTTTTTTAAAAAGAGTGATGGTGATTTGTTGATCTATTAGGGGTATAGTGTCAAAATTTTGTGTCAATTCATCCAGTGGTTTTTGAGTTATATTAATCCCATGAATGAACATTCCATTTCTATTTATATAGATTTAATATATGAATGCAAGTGAGAAATATTTTATTATAGTAAATAATTATAATTTATAATTATAATTTCAGGTTATGGAGAGTGCGTGTGTATCCAGTGCCACCCTACACTTGGAGACTGGCTCCTTGAGAGCTGAGGCCAGGGTGTGGGTGGTAATATTGAATTACTGACTCAGACTATCCCTCTCTCCTCTGGGTGTTGCACCTCTTATTATGAAGGACAACTTTCAATCCAGTTGGCAAAGAGATATAGTATTATAGCGTGGATAATATATTGAATCATTTAATCTCTTCATCAGTAAGCTTGACTCTTATCCATATTGGTTAATAAGATCAAGGTCAGTGTGACCTGACTGTGTGAGTCCAACAGTGAGGAATTCCTCACTCAGTTGGTATCTGTGCCTTCTGCTTTGAAAGAAGCTGTATGGCATTCTTTCCATAAGAGGACTTTCCTACAATCATAGGTAAATTCACTTTATTCCCATTGTCCCTTTGGGGGCAAGGAATATTTTGGGACAGTCTCAGGTATTGTTGGGGACACATGTTATTTGAACCCAGGTTTCAGGATGGGCTAACATAATGAAATAGACTTTATTGTTGTTGAAGGCTTTCATGGCCAAATTCACTGGGTTGTTGTAGTTTTTTCAGGCTATATGGCCATGTTCTAAAAGCATTCTCTCCTGACATTTCACCTGCATCTGTGGCAAGCATCCTCAGAGGTTATGAGGATGCTCTGAGGGTGCTTGCCTTAGATACAGGCGAAACATCAGGAGAGAATGCTTCTAGAACATGGCCAGAAAAACCTACAACAACCTAGACTTTATTATGCTGAATGAAAGACAGAGAATCCCACCTCAGTGACTTTCACTACTATTAACATTCGTATCTTACTGGATTGTTTTCATTACTGAGAATCAGATTCAATGTGTTATGGTGATTGTGCTCTTTTTTTTCTCACACAAAGTTTGATCCAAAGAAAAACATGCAGAGTTTCTTCATAGTCTCAAGTCTACAGACTATGGATGCAGGGCTTGAATTACTGCTGGTCTCTTTA